AAAAGTAGGGCAGGGGTCAGTTGGAGGAAAGGTGGGGAGCGCCTTGCCTTCTGCCCCATGGGCTCCCTTCCAGGGCTGCTGGACCCCAAGCCCCATCGTCCTCAGCCGGACAGGTGGGAAAGAATTGAACCCTTTCCGCCCCCCCATTCCCCCCCCAAAAAAGTAGGGCAGGGGTCAGTTGGAGGAAAAGTGGGGAACGCCTTGCCTTCTGCCCCATGGGCTCCCTTCCAGGGCTGCTGGACCCCAAGCCCCATCGTCCTCAGCCGGACAGGTGGGAAAGAATTGATTCGCCTGTAGTTGTGGGACAGGGAGAATGGATGGGGTCTCGGGGTGGGGGGGGACCCTTAAGGAGGAGAGAGAGTCCAAGATCCTCCGGAGAAGGGGGTGAGTCGGCTCCTGAGCCCCTGAACCCCGAGATTTCCCGGAGGGAAAGTCACGTGGTGCACCTGTGAGAACAGGGCCAGATCCCATCCACCAAGAGTCCTCGCCTTGTGACGACGACTGCGCCCGACATGTCTGTGGCTGAGGCCGACGCAAAACTCTGCTTAAGTGGATTTGGCCCCCCTTTGACGACGTTTTTTTTTGCCTTGGCTGTTAAGCGAATCGCTGCCGTTGAATTCGAGTTAAGTCACACGGTCGTTAAGCGGATCTGCCTTGACTCTGCTTGTCGGGAGGTCGCAAAAGGGGATGACGTGACCCGGGGACGCCGCAACCGTCGTAAACAGGAGTCAGTCGCCGAGCGTCCCGGATTTTGATCACGTGACCTTGGGGAATAGCGCACCGGACGTAAGGTCGTCAGTCACTTTTTTCAGCGGTGGTGCGGCTTTGAGCGGCCGCTAAATGAACTGTTGTAATTCGAGGACTGCCTGTATTTGCATTTGGAGGAGGGAAAGAACCCCACAGGTGAAGAATTGGCTGGTTTTGTTATCCACCTTCTGAAGTCTGTTTTGTGGGTTCCTCCTCCCCTGCCCAGCCGACTGGGGAATTGTTTATCATTTTCCTCTAAAGGCTTGCTGGCTAGGAGGGAAAGCACTCTGCATGTGCTCAGAGACTCGGGCAGGCTTCCAACGGTGGGGGTGAAACATGACGCCAGAGCGTGGCTTTAGATTGTGGGGTTGCTTGCCGCTGATGACATGACCAAGGTGGCCCCTTGGTGTGTCTTGTTGAAGAGACACAACAGCTGTGCGTGATTTGAGCCCGGCCAGATGTGAGGGTGTAAAATTCTTGGCAACAACTTTTGAGCGCAGACACCAGTTGTGGAGCCTGTGTTCCGTACCTGTGAGGTGTATTTAAAGTTGTGTAAGGAATTACACTAAGGTAAAATTTAGATCGGGGTGCGTATATGAGGACAATTGCTGCTCTTTTCTCAAATCTCAGAGTTGTGTTTCCTTCCCCTCGCCCCCTCTCCGGCTTTTGAGGTTTCTTCTTGCCCTTGAGGACTAGAATGTTATCCATCCCTACCTCTAAAAGCCAATGGACTAGTTCAAGGTGTGGGAAACAAACTGGTGAGTGGCTTGTAAAAAAAGAAATAGCAAACAGAAGAGGATTGGGCCCATAAAGGGTGAGTGGGGGGGGAAAGTTCACCCCTTTTGTCTTTGGCTGATTCAAACCCTCCTGCGTGGGGGCTGAGCTCAAATATCCTTCCTTCCTTCCCCCTCCCACCCTCCCTCCTATTCCTTCTCTCTTCTTTCTTCTTTTCTTTTCTTCCTTCCTTCCTTTTCCTCCCTCCCTCCCCCTTCTCCCTTTCCCTCCTTCCTTCCTTCCCTCTCTCACCCTCCCTCCTATTCCCTCTCTCTTCTTTCTTCCTTCCTTCCTTCCTTTCTCTTTCTTTCTCTCTCCTTCCTTCCTTCTTTCCTTTCTCCTTCCTTTTCCTCCCTCCCTCCCTCCCCTTCTCCCTTCCCTTCCCCTCCTTCCTTTCTTTCTTTCCTTCCTCCCTTCCTCTCCCCTTCTCCCTCCCTCCCTCCCTCCCTCCCTCCTTCCTTCCTTCCTTCCTTCCTTCCTTTCTTCCTTTCTTTCTTTCTTTCTCTTCCTTCCCTCCTTCCCTTCCTTCCTCTTTAGAAGCTCCACTACAGTTTTTCCATGCTCCCCATCAGAAAACTCATTCCAGAGAGGTACCAAACAGGGGACCAGCAGGGGAGGGGGCTGCTTCCCTTCCCCCTCCCCTCCAGATCCACTGGATCGGTTGCAGCTTCCTTGAATGGGGATGCGGAGGGGGGGGGGAAAGAGAAATTCTGGTTTGGCAGCAAATGCAAATGCTGGCTTGCGATACGAAGCCCAACTGCGATAGGAAGCCTCAATCCCTACTAACCTTGGTTCTCTCTCTTTCTCTCTTGTATTCCACTTCGCTGCATAATCCTTGGCCAAAAAAAAAAAAAAAAGGGCTGCTTCCATCACTCCAGCCTCTTTGCCACAGAGGGATTAATATTCCCTACGGAGGGATTAATATTTCTAGCGGTGGGGATTATTATTTTAGACAAGCTCGGAAGGAAAACGCTTCCCGCTTGCAGGTGGACTGGCCGAAGGTTCATCCTTTTTTAAACAAAAAACAAAAAAACCAAAGGAGAATGGGGGGTGGAAGGACTTGTGATTTTTTTTTTTTTAAAAAAAGCAGAAGTTTAGGCACCTCTGGGCAGATGTGACGGTTTTGACAAATTCCCCAAACAAAACCGAGCTGACAGAAGCCCGACTTGGTCTTTTCGGCAAATGGAAAGCGCAGTTTTGAGGACCCCGCATAACAAAACGAGGATGATCGGTTCAAAGGTTCAAACACCTTCCAGTTGGCCCTTAGAAGAGAAGAAGAAGAGAAGAGAGCTGGAAGGGACCCTTGGGGGTCTTCTAGTCCAGCCCCCCCCCCACTGCTCCAGCAGGAGATCCTAGACCATTTCAGACAAGTGGCTCTCCGGTCTCTTCTTAAAAACCTCCAGTGATGAAGCAGCCCCAACTTCTGGAGGCAGGTAGTTCCACTGGTTGATAATTGGATAATGGGTGAATATGTGTGGCTGAGGACGCTGGGTGTTGAAGTTCCCCAAATCTTGGGCACCTCAAATTTAAGGACATTTGCAGTTTGTGGAAATCTTTCTCCTTTTCATGCTTTCTGGAGGGTGTGCGGGGGTCCCGCTGATTGGGGGCAATGGGAGTTGTAGTCCTACACACCCGGTGGGCTGGCTGCCTTGCTCAGGGGGTTCACCTGTGTGAAAAAAAGGACACACTTCGCTGCTCTTGAGCTGAGTTGCTATTGTGAAATCAGGTCACTCAGTTTAATCATTGAGGGTAACTGGAGCCGCAGTAACCTGGCCCAGCAGCTGGCAGGCAATTGATACCCCCTTGGGATTAGGCAAGGAGCCAGTCCTCATTGATTTCACCTGAATGGCCAAGGGGCAGACGCCAGCTGACCTGCCGGGGCGGCTGAAAGTTGGCTTGTTACCCCTAGGATGCTTAACCGTGCCATTTCCTTTAACTCTCGGAAAATAGGTTTTTAGTCCAAACCTCCCTGCGAGGTAGGCCTGGTCATAAACTGCTATCCTTGGTTTTATCTCCTCCTGGGATTAGAAGAGACATCTCCCTCGTAATTCAGTAAAACGGGGAAATAGTTTCGCCAAGAAATGTGGTTGTGATCCTTGGAATGGGAGAAGAGACAGAGACGGTGGCTTATGCGCCTTTTTTGCTAAGGAGTGGGAAGCACTCATCTGTTCTATGGCATCCCTTTCATCCTGCGGCTCTTATTTCTCGCCCGCATATCTTTACACAAAGCCTGCTTGTATCTGCAGAGTAGAGACCTTTCAAAGCAGGTGAGTTGACAGGCCAATCCCACATTGACTTCATAACAGCCCCCCAGTGAGTCTCTCTGGATCCCACCTAACCTCCTTACATCTATCCATC